GCTATTGGCGCGGCAGTGTGGACTGCCGCGGCCAAAGAGACGGTTACCAGCACGTTCCATTGTGCTTGAAACCGTTCTCCCATGACCTTTAACCACCTTTTTCGTGGTTTAACTGCTTGTACACGTCAGCACACGTTCCCTTTCTGATATGCCGCCACGTGGGCTTCAAAAAATCATCGTATAACTGCTTTATAACTGCCGCAGCACCTCCTATAATAGCCGCGCCGTCATGAGCTGTTGTGCCTAAGGCGCGACACCCTTAACTGCAGCGCCTAAGGTGCGACACTCTTAACTGCCGCGCCTAAGGCGCGACACTTTGAATTGCCGCGCCTAAGGCGCGATACTCTGAACTGTCGCGCCTAAGTCATGTCACCCTGGCTTGCTTGTTGGTGTATTGTTGTGTCTACACTGTTCTTTTCTCCTCCTTGAGTAGTGTTTGGATATCTATGAGCATTTTTTGATGCCTACATAGAGACATTTGTATATGCAATTGGGTTTTACCTTTGGATGCAAAGCTTTGCAACCTCCATCCAGGGGAGTAAAAATCAACTATAACAAGATTATCTCCAGCATCTAACAATGAATCAACAAGATGTTGTGTAGATATGATCTCATCATGTTTGGCTTGCTTGTTTTCTCCCACCACCTCATAGCTCTACGGACACAGGTTTAAGCCTGAGCCTGGTATTGAAGAAAAAGATTTAACTTAACGGCGTCGTAATTGAAGATGTAAGGGGTGAGAGCCTAGGAGCTTACATTAATAGAGAAAGTAGAATGACTTTCCTTAGGAATCCTTCTCTTTAAACCGTTCTGTTGTTTAAGGGGGTGTTTGGTTCAATTTCTACAAATTATAGGAAATGTTTTCCACCCAAAATATGATTCCCTTGTATTTCTTTAAAAAATTATAGGAAAAGTTTTGAGAAGTCAAAAAGTATCAATTTTCTTTTTTTTTTTTACTTTGCTTGTTTGGTTCAAAACAAGAAAATATCTAATAACTTTATAGAAAATAGCAAGATTTCCTATAAATTATAGAAATTGAACCAAACACCCCCTAAATTTATAGAAAAGTATCAACTTTATAGAAAAGTGTTAATGTGTTGTCATATTTCTGGGTGATTTCTGTCCATTTTGAGAGGAAATTGATTTCTATAAATTTTAGTACTTTTTTGTATTTTGCAGAAAATATTTCTGTAAATTTTTTTGAACCAAACACAATTTACGGAAATCTATAAAAAAAATTTAATTACAGAATTATCATTGTCAGACTTTTTGAGAAAACTTTTCTATAAAATTGTGCAACCAAACACCCCCTAAGCACAAGTTGGTTTCCTTTGAACTTTTGAGAAAACTTTTCTATAAAATTGTGCAACCAAACACCCCCTAAGCACAAGTTGGTTTCCTTTGAACTCATTCTTGCAAACTAAAGCATCTTTGTGCAACCAAACACCCCCTAAGCACAAGTTGGTTTCCTTTGAACTCATTCTTGCAAACTAAAGCATCTGACGGCCCAATTACCTTTTTCTCTAATGCCAATTCATGGGGGCAGGAGGCACAAAAACCATTACTCAGAGAAAATGCCATGGCAACGAACAGAGCAAAACAGAGTGCAAAAAAAAAACAAAATGTCATGAGCAAACTTCAAATAAATTGCTAATTGATATTAAAATAAATTAAGATTAAAATTTAACAATGTCATTTAGTCATGAACTAAATGATAGTAATCACTTAGCATTTCATATTGCAGGGAGAATGTGGAAGAAGTCCAGATCATATATACTGTGTTGTATTTGAAACAGTAAAGAAACAAGTTTCACCAAACTACAGTCAGAATTTAGGAGAAAATCCCAGCAGATTATACACTAAACAAAAACTAACTCATTTCCATTTGAAAAATACAAAGAATGATATAATTTGTAGCTAAAAGAGCTAGGAATTACTTTCACAATATTGACAATTATTCTCAAGACTAAGTAGAAAAGTAGATGATCAGTAAAATCAAGCTAGTCATGATAAGATGGAATTTCCAATCCTAAATTACAAGCCAGCCGACACATAGCCACACTGCGACACATAACTTACGAAAGCATCAACATAACAAAGCCCACCTTTTAGAAGAATACAGGTGAGAAACTAACTAAACATGATTCACACTTCTAATTCTAAGAAGCAAACTTACACACTTATCGTCCATCAATATAAATCTCTGCCAAAGACGTCGGTGTTAAACGCTAATGACCATAAAAGTTTTCATGAGATTCTATTGTATGATTGGATGTGTAGAGACATTTGTATGTGCAATTGGGTTTTACCTTTGGATGCAAAGCTTTACAACCTCCACATCCAGGGGAGTAAAAATCAACTATAACAAGATTATCTCCAGCATCTAACAATGAATCAACAAGATGTTGTGTAGATTTGATCTCTGTCATGTTTGGCTTGCTTGTTTTCTCCCACCACCTCATAGCTCTAGGGACACAGGTTTAAGCCTGAGCTTGGAATTTAAGAAAAAGATTTAACTTAACGGCGTCGTAACTAAACATGTAAGGGGTGAGAGGCCAGGAGCTTACATTAATAGAGAAAGGAGAATGGCTTTCCTTGGGAATCCATCTCCCTAAACCGTTCTGTTGTTTAAGCACAAGTTGGTTTCCTTTGAACTCATTCTTGCAAACTAAAGCATCTGAAGGCCCTGTTGTTTAAGCACAAGTTGGTTTCCTTTGAACTCATTCTTGCAAACTAAAGCATCTGAAGGCCCAATTACCTTTTTCTCTAAAAATAAACATGCCTTTGAACTCATTCTTGCAAACTAAAGCATCTGAAGGCCCAATTACCTTTTTCTCTAAAAATAAACATGGCATGTAATTAAATCAAATGAGAGAAAAATGATTGATAAAGGCTTTGAAATTACCCAGGCAAACACTGCTTGTGATATGACATAGGGCAACGCCGGCACACTACAAACTGTAACTCGGCAACCTCTTTGTTTTCTTCTTGGTTACAAACATGACATTTATAAGCAGGGCATGCAAATGATTCCCAATCAACAATAATTAACTCACACTCTGTTGCTTCCATTTCATTCTACGGGAACAGCAGGTCGGCTACACATTTTAGGTGGTAGAAGTGACCACAAGTTGCATCAACGGAAGGGAAGACCTAAAAATTCTCCTTAAAATTTAGGCACGTCGATGAAAAGGTATAATTGAAAAAGATAGAAAGTAAATAAGTTGATAAAATGCTGATAAAAAATAAGGTATGGATATATAAAGTAGCTATTAACAAAGAGACTTTTGATGACATTTGAGTAATACTATACCTGTGCACCAACCAGCATATTAGAGGAGCCTAGACTCTCACAGACAAAACATCGATGTTGATTATACTCAATTTTTACACAAAAAGGCGTCAATAGCCTACATAAAACAAAGTTTACAGTACATAGATGAGACTGCAAGGAAATATTGATCATGCAATTGGAACTATCACATAGTATTATTTCATTAACCATAGAATACCTGAATTTGAGCTTCGGATAAGCTAAGAGAGTTACAACCTGATTCTATGCCATCTACTATGGTTGCATGGAAGGATCTCCTACATCTCCACTCAAAACTTTAGTAAAAATATAATTATGTCGACACGATGGGGAAAAAAAAGGATACCCAGTTCCGTCTGCCAAATTCATATGTTAAAAGAGCAAGAAGGTTAATATTTTGTGCGTAGATGCGTTTAATACCATAAGACATTAATACACGCTAAAGATGTAAAAGTCAAGCAGCAAAATAATACATTGCATTCTTCTAGCTGACAATAGATGCCTTTATTACTTTATAAGGGTATAGATAGTAGAATTTAATAGAGGTGTCAATCAGGAAGTAGACAGTGTGGAAAATATTCCTCCTATGCCATTGGTCAACTTCCCTCCTCTTATATATTTGCCCACATTCTTAACTGGATCCAATAAAAACCTCAAATTTTAACCTTCCATCTCAACATGAAACAGTGACCTATCGACTTATAAATGTGGGCTTTCATTTCTCTAAATGCAGCAGATGCATCTTCCCATTTATCACCCTGCTAAATCTGGATACTACAACAACCAAACCCTTTAAACATATCTTTTGAAAGCACAAGGAACCTAGTATTTATAGCTAGGAATGCTAGAGGATATGGGCATTTATGTATATGTATCTGTATATCTATCCATCTCTATCCAACAAGACGCATACATGAATACGCACACACAGAGTCACACACGCCCATAGGATGTGTTTAATGATATGCACATATTTTTAAACTTTCGTATACGGTATAAGTAAAACATATGGATTCATACACTGATATCGGAAGACGTTGAAATTGTTTAGAAAATTATAGTAGATATAAGTCCAATTTTAAGGACCCAGAGATCCAACTTTAGTTTTTTTAGACATGTTCACATGATGGGCTCTGACATGAGAAATTTTGTTGTTTAAGTAGTCTTTGTATCGCATAACTTGACCTTTTCAATTCTATCCATTTCTCTTGTATCCTATTCCTCTATACATATATATGATTCTTGTGGATCCATATCCTATTCAAGTTTGTTGGGTATGGACAATGTGGTTTCCTTACAGAAACTTGTAGGCATTCCTTATACCATTCAAACCATAAAAGAGCATTAGGTGCACACTACTTTGCACTATGACTCTAGTTGAGATACATGTGTTTGAACAGTTAAGGAAGCTAGCAAATGTATATAAATTAACACAACAAACATCATTTTGAAATATCATGTCTGAGTTTGTGCATGCATGTACCATTAGGAGCCACGAGCGAGAAAGAATCAACAGACAAACAGAGCATACCGCACAATTCGACCGCCATTGTCACAAATGGTACAAAGTGGATCAGCATCATTCTCCAAATCATCAACATTGTTCTCCGTATCATCTACGTAGTAAATGCTCGTCACAGATTGTGGGTCCTGCACCTCCTCATCGCTTGAAGACGCCATGATTTTAATTGTGGAAAGAGGGCTTAGGTATCAATAAAAACAAATAGATATCCGCGCTATGACCTACTCACCTGTAGTGAAAATGAGAAAGAACTCAACTTTATTGGAAAACAGGCGTAAAAGAAGACTAATCAAATTAAAGCTTACGCTTTTGTGCTGCAAAATGTGTAAATTTTCAGTGATTTAATATTTTAGGAAAAATGCTCAAATCCATATATAATCCCACTTATGTGGAAAGAATACATTTTTAACTATTTGAAGAAGCTCCGACTAAAATAATCTGGAATAAAAAGTTCATTAAAATCGGAGAAAATTAGAAAATAGTTCAAACCTTTTTGATAGGTAAAACCTTACCTTTCTATGGTCATTTGGGTGAATCCTGTTTGCAACAACTGGATCAATCTCCTTAAGATGCTCATAGCTAGCAGCCAGATGTACATTGCTTAATTCTGCAAGAAACAGAAACTTTCAGAAACTACAAAGTAAAAGAACGTAAACTAACACCATTAAACTATTAAATCGGTTTATTTTCTCCTATCTAACCTTGTTCGCTAACAACGGTGTCTTCTTCCATATCTTGCACCGCATCATCTACAAGGAATGAGCTCACAAGAGCCTACCAAAAAATTAAGTTGACATTAAGCTTTTCAAAAGAAAGAACTTTAGAAAATAGCATGTTGTATATAACGAATAATGAACTTGGATGTAGTAATCTGTACCCCCAACAATAACCAGAAGACCATCACGGGACAATATGTCATCAATAATCTAACAAAATTACCAAGCAAGTGTCAAAATATTCAACCTAAACTTAAATTTGAAAAAAAGGTGCAGAATCAATCGAGTCGAGGTTTTTACTGGAACGACGAGATCACGAAAATCTCTGCAAGTGAACTCGACCGATGTGTCAACGGTCCCTAGAAGATGGTGAGGAACTCCTAAAGTCACTTTTTAGAGAAGTCGCGGTGAATTCGTAGCCAGACAAGAGAGGAAGATAAAGGGAAATATATACTATCGCGCTCAAAAAAAGGAACTTTGTTGGTGAGGACGTCGAGGCCTTGGTAGACTTGCATCGAGTCGGTGTTGATGACCTGGACGCCGGCGAAGTGAGAGGCCAGGTCGATAGAGAAGCGAGACTTTCCTGAGCCCGTTGCCCCAATTATTAATAACCCTAATGTTTGGGGTTGAATTAAGAGAGAACCTTCAAGGTAGAGCTAGGGTTTTGTGTAGCGGAGTGAAGAAGAAGGAGAAACCTTCGTGATCCTAACTGATTCCACTCATCTTTGGCAAATTGATGACTTAAGATCGTGGGACGACGTTGGCTGAGGAGAATCGTAACCAGTTGTCGGAGGAAAGGCGTAATCGATGGTAAGTTGGGTTTTTGGTTTCTGATGACAATGAATTCTGTATAACAATTATAAGGGATATCTTTTATTGTATATTAATATCTCTAGGAAGTCGTAAGATAAGAAAAGAAAACTATGATAAAGAAAAAGTAGGTATAACATTACATTGAACATAATTAATACCTTGGTGTATAACCATATTGGACCCGAGCCTGGACCTCTTCCACTTGATTTCTATTACAACCACGTCTACGCTCATTCCTTCATATATATGCTTAAATTTGAGCTTGTTAAAATTATACTTAGTTTAAAATGACAACCTCTAGTTACATACACTAGAGTCTTTCAAGTAATTGAACCAAGTACTAAATAACTAAAGACTATCACACAAATACAAGATTGACCAGCACTCGGGATATTATCAATGCATCAAAACACAAGGTTTGGTGAAAGGTACAATAAACTCCATATAAATAAAGTACATCAAAAGCGTGCATGCAGGATAGGTGTACACGGAAAAAGGGCTTTCAGTCATCTAGATTACTTACAGAAATTATTGCCTTTATAATGTAAGATATATTCCTAGCCCACCCTGAGCTCCAAGATTAAAGGGAACATCCAGGCAATTCTTTTCTGTAGTTTCACCATATTTGAACTCCATACTCCTATGTTTGTGCTCTACTATGATACATCAAGAACCCTTACAAACCGACGGTGGCATCTCTCCAGTCTAGACTTTAATCTAATAATCGAACGAAAATGTCGATGAAAGGAAAAGATCACCCAAGCAGAGTCTACTAGATAGCTCCGACCCATCTTTCAATTATTTCAAATCAGTCTTAATATCTCTACATTAGTTTCCAAAAGCAATCTTTGGTGTCATTTCCAAAGGAATGAAGCCAACTCAGATAAATGTACATGTTGTTAGTCTCGAGAGTGTAGACGAAACCTGGAATCAAATCAACGAAGAAAACTAGAAAAACTCAGTTTGGTTGACCGACAGGCTTGGTCCGGTCGACCGCGATGCCTGCAGAAAAAAAGCGTGAGAAGCTCGCTTTGGCCGGTCGACCGATAGGGATGGTTCGGTCGACCAAAAACCCTGTAGAAATCTAAGCCCAGAATCGAGCTCTGGCCGGTCAACCGACACGAGGACTCTGGTCAACCAAAAATGTGCACGAGTAGACCCTGTAAAATTGACACTTTGGTTGGTCGACTTAAGTCATTGGTCCGATCGACCGATGTCGGGATTTTCAGTTTCCTAATTCATTTGGGATTTTGTTTTAGGTTAGGATCCTATATATACCTAAACATTTTTAGGTTTTATAAAACATGTAAAAAGAGGGTTTTAAGAGGATTCTTTCAGAGAGATCTCAGAGAGATAAAAATCTATTTGGGCATTGTAATCTTCTTCAATTAATCAAAGAATTATGTGGTGTGGCTTCTGAAGACGTAGGCATGTTGCCGAACCTCGTTAAATCTGGTGTGTTCTTTCTTGTTTATCTTTCCTACAATTTTTTTTATTTACGATGATTTTTCCTACTTGCTAAACTCTTAGCATAAGGTCTGGAAGGGCACGGGTTCGATTGATTATTTTGAATCCTTAACAAGTGGTATCAAAACTTCGTTCAGAAGATTTGTGCAAGAACCATGACAGAGGAAAGCAAATCAAAGATCGAGAAGTTTGACGGATCAAACTTCGCCTACTCGAAGCCACAGATGGAGGACTATCTGTACCAGAAGGATCTTTACCGTCCATTGATGGGCAAGACTAAGGGAAGAAGAAAGAGGAATCAAACGAGGACTGGGAAATACTAGATAGGAAGGTTTTAGGCAAATCTGAATGTCGCTCGCCAAATCAGTCACCAATAATATATTGAAGGAGAAGACGATGGTAGGGCTTATGGAAGCACTCGCGAAGATGTACGAGTAACCGTCAGCCACAAACAAGATGTATCTCATCAAAACACTCTTCAACCTCAAGATGGTAGAATGATGCTCCTTCACAATTCACCTCAGCGAGTTCAACACAATTATTGATCAACTTTTCTCTGTGGATATCACGTTTGATGATGAAATACAGGCCCTATTGATTCTATCGCAATTACCAGATAGTTGGGCAGGTTACATGACCGCAATTAGCAACTTAGCGGGGAAGGAGAAGTTGAAGCTGAACGAGGTTGTTATCATGATTCTATCTGAGGAGGTTAGAAGAAAATCGTTTGAATCAAAAGGTTCAGGCCCTAAATCTCGAGCAGAGAAGACGAAGCCAGAAGAAGGGTAACCAGAATAAGAATCGGTCAAAGTCAAATAAGAAGAGGTCGAACTCGAAGGTTAGGCCTATCAAAGGGAAGTGTTGGAACTGTGGCCAAGAGGGTCATATGTCTTCAGTCTGTAAAGCACAAAAAAAGGATGCGAATGAGCAAGAGGCTCATGTCGTGCAAGATGCCTTAATCCTTGCTATGGATAACGATTCTGATTCTTGATTTATTGACTTAGAAGCCTCTTTCCACGACACTGCTAATAGGAAGCTTCTTCAAAACTATGTAGCAAGGGACTTTGGAAAAGTGTACTTGGGGGACAATGAGCCTTGTATTATTATTTTAAGAGGTGACATGCAGATTAGATAAAGGGCACTAAGTAGAATCTGAAGAATGTCAGACATGTACCAAAGCTGAAGAGAAATCTCGTTTCGATTAGCCAGCTTGTAGCAGAAGGCTATGTTTCAACATTCACTAGGGATTCATGGAAAAACTCCAATGGTACTATAGTGGTTGCCCGATGCGACAAAACAGGAACTCTCTACCTCACTTCACATATAAGTGACACCCTCGCAATTGCAGCTGGAAAATAGAGTGTAGATCTATGGCACAATAGGCTGGGACACATGAGTGAGAAGGGTATGAAGATTCTACACTCACAAGGAAAGCTAACCGGTATCGATTCAGTGAAAGTTGGTGTTTACGAGGACTACATCTACGGGAAGTAGAAGAGGGTCAGGTTTCAGAAGGATGGAAGGTCACCTAAAGCTCAGAAGCTAGAGTTTGATCATACAGATGTATAGGGCCCAACTAGCATGTCTTCTCTTAGCAGTTCAGCGTACTATGTCACCTTTATCAATGATCACTCGAGGAAGGTGTGGATATACTTTATGAAGCACAAGTCAGAGGTATTTGGGATCTTCAAGAAGTAAAAAATTTATAGTAGAGAACGAGACAGATCTGAAGGTGAAGTGTTTGAGATCAGACAATGGTGGAAAATACGAGCTGGAGGAGTTCAAGAAGTTCTGTACTCTGAATGGAATTCGTTTGGAGAGGACTACTTTAGGGATGCCACAACAGAACGAAGTTGCAGAAAGGATGAACAGGACATTAGCGGAGCATGCGAGGAGCATGTGTCTATATGTAGGTCTACCCAAGACGTTTTGGACAGACGCGGTGCATACAACAGCTTATCTGATTAATCATGGGCTACCAATTCCATTAGATTTTAGGATTGCAGAAGAGGTTTGGAGTGACAAGAAGGTTAATCACTCATACTTGCGAGTATTTGGCTACATGGCATATGTTTATATCTGTGACCATATCAGGGACACGCTAGAAGCTAAGCCACAAAAGTGTACATTCATTAGATACGACATTAATGAGTTTGGGTATCGTCTTTAGGATGAGAAGAACAGGAAAATTATCAGGAGTAAAGATGTGATATTCAATGAGGAGGTGATGTATAAGGACAGAGACAATGCCAATGATAACCAAAGTAGTGGGAGAAATACTACGGATGCAGGTGGATCTGAGTACATGGATTTAGATGAACTTCCAGATAGGGGCGACAACGTTAGTTCTAACCAAAGAACGGAGGAGGCTCTAGGTGCATAGACTACTACCCAGGGCGTGAATCCTAAATATCTCTCATCACTAGATTATTTACTTTTGACAGATAGCGGAGAACCAAAGTGCTATGAGGAGGCTATGCAAGTGAGTGAATCTTAGCAGTGAGAGCATGCGATTCAAGGAGAGATGGGATTCTCTACACACTAATGAGACATAGGAGTTAGCCCAGCTACCTGCGTAGAAGAAAACCTTATATAACAAATGGGTCTATCGGGTCAAGCAGGAGAGTGATGGAAGCAAGAGGTACAAGATTAGATTAGTCGTGAAGGGGTTCTAACAGCGGGAAGGAGTGGATTATATAGAGATATTTAACCCCCGTTGTGAAGTTTGCAACCATTAGAGTGGTGTTAAGTTTAGTAGTTACAGAAGATCTCTACCTTGAACTGTTAGATGTGAAGACTTTCTTTCTTTATGGTGACTTGAATGAAAAAAATCTACATGAAGCAACATGTTGGCTTCATTGAAGAAAGAAAGGAAGAGATTGTATGTAAGCTCAAGAAGAGCTTGTACGGATTGAAACAGGCTCCGAGACAATGGTACAAGAAGTTTGACAACTTCATGCAGAGCAATGGCTATGGAAGATGTAATTCAGATCATTATTGCTACTTCAAGAGGTTCGAGTCTAGATATATCATGTTATTATTGTATGTTGATGACATGTTAGTTGTAAGATCGTGTTTACAGGAGATAAACAGATTTAAGAAGTAATTAGCGAAGGAGTTTACTATGAAGGATCTAGGTGCAGCAAAGCAAATTCGTGGGATAAGAATCATTAGAAATGAAGCTGAAGGGACGTTGAAGTTGAGTCAAGCTGAATACATCAAGAAGGTACTTCAGAGGTTCAACATAGAAAATACTAAGGTTTTTAGCACGCCCCTTGAAAGCCAATTCAAGTTATAAGAGGAGCAATCACCCAAGATAAATGCAGGAAGGTGCACATGAGCAGAGTGTCATATTCATCAGCCATTGGTAGTCTTATATAGTAGTCTTATATACGCGATAGTTTGTACGAGGCCGGATATTACCTATGCAGTGAGAGTTGTGGGCAGGTTTGCAAGCAATCTAGGGAAGCAACATTGAGAGGTCATAAAGTGGATATTGTGTTACTTTAGAGGGACTACAGATATGCCATTGTGTTTCAGGAGGAAA